CGCAATTGATGCANGAATCTATCTCGCATCGGAATCATGCGAAACGAAAACAAGAGTAGAATATAAGACAAATAAGAGCTAAAAATTCTCCTTTATACAAAGGCTATGTGCAAATGGTCGCGGATTACAAAAGACCCAAGTCAACAGTCTGAGGAAAAAAAAGGAACAACGACAATCGACTACGAACGAAAAATTAGGAAGAAAATAACCAACGGAAAACAGATCAATATCACTATCCCTCTACTCTGCATCGTCATCGCCCCCCTCGCCACTGCCATCTCCGGGAAGTTCTCCTTCGGTGTACGCGCCCCTATTAGCTTCTGGCATCGCCGCATCATACCCGCAATTGATGCAAGCCTCCCGCGCTTTCACTCACGCCTTTTCATATGCAGCCTCAGTCACAGTACCCCCCCCCCACAAACTCTTGTATATATCCCGCTGGGCTTCGGCGTAAACCCAAAGCTCGTGCGTATGGCAAGGAACGGCGGTGGAGGAAGGTTCAATCTGAGCCAACAGCCGCTCATTTTCTGCCTCCAGTGCTACGACCTGATCTCCTAGAACTGATGTCTCTCGGTCAATCTCGCTAATGCGCTCCTCAAGCCTTGCCTCCATAAGGGTGCTCGTCGCTCTCTGACTCCTACTCGGACTGGAGGACGCGGATGGTGTTCTCCAGGGCTGTCGCCCTTGCTGAAGCCGCGGACCAAGCACTCTTGATGCTCTCCAACCCAGCAACCTTGTTCTCTAGCCCAGCCAATTTCCCCATCCATTCTACGCTTAGCGCCTCGATCTTGATCAAGTTCCGATCTATCTCCGACTGCATTGACCTCAATTTCTCCTGCAGATGCTCGCACTCTGTGGCGACACCTTTGCCCAATTCAAGCTCCTCGTCCTTTATCTGAAGTTGCTCCTCAAGCACACTCTTGTTGCGGATAGCCTGCATCAATTTCTGGTTCTTTTTCTCCAACTCCTTGCCAAGAGCCCGATTACTGGGGTTTGCCTTCAGCCGCTCATGCATCTCGCGACACTTGTTGCGGTAGCAACGATATTTCTCCAACATCTTCAAAAAAATCTTGGCCCGAATGTTGGCCCTCCGAATGCTCTCCACTTCCACCATATACATCTGAAAAATGAAAAGACGGGTTAGAATCATATCATCAAGAAAGACGAGGGAAAAGCGAAAGAAAACGTAGCATACCCTTAAGCCCATAGCGGCCACTTCGTCCATCAAGTCAGCATCGGGAACGATCTGAAGGGCCGCATTCTCGGCTGCGGAGCATAGCATGCTAAACTGCGGCACTAGATCCTCTATGTCCCCCAAGAGATTGACATCCGAAGGGATATCAAGAATACGGGCCGAACCTCCCGCACGAACCACCGAGTGAGTAAAGCCCTCCTCAAACATCCTGACATCATCAGGTTAGAGGTCTGATTCGGATTCGTAATCGTCGACCACCACGCCTTTTCCTCTTTCAGCAGCGGAAGAGGAAGCACGACCAACTGCGGATGATGAGGGTACGTCCGAAACCACAATGGCGGCCCCAGAAATCTGACCTTCCACCACGATAGGTTGCTGACCACCGATAATGGTGGGAATCTCTTATTGAGCCAAGGCAACGACTGGTTCCATCCCTACGGGGGGAGCCGTGACAACCCCCTCTCCAGATCCCATCGAAGGAGAGTCGATTAGATGAATCACTGTTGGGGGCGCTGTCTCGAACTCCACTTGCCATTTTTTATGGCCCCTCTTCTTCCCCAGTGGGCGGAGATTCACCCTTCGGGCGAACGACACGGGTCGGAACTTCGACCTGAGAAGCGGTCCTCGCAGGAGTAACCAAGGCCGCAGACTCAACTGAAGCAGCCCTCAACGAAGGTCGGGCGGCAGGTACCGCGATTGGGCGAGTAAATGAGGCTGGCTGCCGAAAAGCTAACGGAGGAGCCCTCACTCTGCGCACATTCCCTGACACCGACGAAAAGCACGTGAGGAATTAAATACAAAGAGGGAAAAGAGAAAAACGGCGAACAGAAATGACATCTTACCAGAAAGAGGCATGCGCCCATACTTGTCATAGAAGGTCGCCCACGTGCGGACCTCCGCCGTATGAGGGAGAATCGCGCTCATCCACTCACGGATATTTTCGACAGGTGGAGGAGGCAATTTCTCAACTGCAAAGACATAACAGGGTTTAGTACTGTAACGGAAAATGGTCAGATATAACTCCGACTAGAAGCATGAGACTTACGTGCAAATTCCATTTCTCAGGAAACCCCGTTGGATTCGCCACAATGTGCTCAGTCCGCACATAGAAATAATTCTCATAAAAACGACGGTTAGTCCTGTCGTCCATTTTCTCCACCAAACTCTTCGACCCCCGAGGACGCATGTGAAGCATCGAGCCACAGATGAGCTGAGGGGCAAAGTTACTGAGCAGGTGATCCAAGGTGATCTCACGACCGGCGAGTTCTGCAAACTTGAGCAACATAAGGAACAACTTGTACAGGTACGGCGAAAGTTGGGAGGGGCATACCTCATAAAAACGGGAGAAGTCTACCACCAGGAGAGGGAGGGGAAGTGTGTATCCAATAAGAAAGGGGTAGGCATAAAATACACAATACCCAGGATGGTAAAAATGAACTATGTCGTTTCCTACCGCCGGTCACATATCGACGTAGTCGGGGACCCCCCCACCTGGTTTTCAACTCTTCAATGTCTCCTTCTCTCATAACAGAAGGGACAGGCTCCGGCTCCGTCCCGGCGCGACTGCTGAAGTCGGTCAATTCTCTCCCAGGGCGAGGCAAAATCTCAACTATCGATGGGACCTCCTCGTCTTCCATCGCATCTACCCCTCCAGTGGCCTGAGCAGCACTTTCCGGTGCCGAAATTGCAACAGGGAGATCGGTGCGAGAGGAATCACCAGCCATTTTGTCCAGAAGATGCGGCAGAAAGGCAACAGAAAGAAAGGATAAAGATTTTCAGTTAACTAAGGACAAACGAAAACTTGGAGTATCAGGAAGAAAGTATATCTGCAGAATTCTTTTGAGCAAAAGGTAAAGAAGAGTGTCAATCGAATGATAAGTTCCTTCTATTTATAAGTGACATAAATCGCCTGAGCACGAAACCCAAGAGTCGCTATTCAAACCTGATAGGGCACGAAACGTTTCAGTTCCCCAGGAACGTCTGTCATAATAGCGGTAACCACGAAATAACGCTTTTATACCAAATGACGTTTTAGTTCCGAAACAGCCACAATGGTTCACGGGTATCAAAAGAACGCTGCCACCTCGCTAAAACCCAAGTAACGTAACTAAGGAACGAGAAGTCAGATTTCGCTCGAATTCGTAGCAATCATGATCCGTCTACCGGGCCTGATAGGGGACGACCTCGACAGACAGAGGGACTAACTGTATTGGTCAAAATCTGACTGTCACGGCCAAGCTGACCAACGTCTCGCCGAAGTGACCGGGCAGTAAAAGATAATATAGCCCACTCCACATCCCATTCTCGACACCCGTCGAGTTAGAAGGAGAAACATCTAAAAGAATGACCAAGGCACCCTTGGTGCGGGAGAACGTCAGACCAAGTAAATGGCAAGGATGCCTTGACTATATATAGTGGGGAAAAATCCTCGAGAATGGGCGGTCTCCTCCCCCCTTCTCTCTCTCAAGCCCTCTTCTTGTAATCTTCATAGGAAAGAAGTAATTTGCAAAAGAACATGTCAAGCTATCTCACCCATCAATTGATGGGAATCACAATGTTGAACTTCAATAAGATCGACTATAGCTCTTTATCTTATGTATTGTTTATACTGTTAGCTCTTTGATCTGGAATTTATTATGTCTGACTAAAATTTACCCCTTCATTCTCTTTGATTGATTTATTCAAAAAGGTTTCGATATCTTTTGAGTCAAACAAACATAAGGATAAGGCAACTAAATTAAGCAGATTAGTCGATGCACAGAAGGCGGATCCAAGATTTAAATCCGATGGGTTTAATTTTTAAGGTTTTTAGCATTGAACCCATTATATTTTTAAAGCTATGGGTTCAAATCTACTTTTTTGTAATTTTAGTGAATTTTTACATATAAATTTTTACTCCGCGTCGAAAGTTATGGATTCAATTGAACCCGTAGTCACAACACTACATCCGGCCCTGTCTACGCATGTTAACTAGTAATATATCTCTAACTGATTTTTCTCTAATTTAGCATAATTTCCTATCCAAAAAAGGCATGATTTTATAAGTACTTGAGGATTATGACCTTGCATATGTGGAAACAAGCATATGCATGCCTTAATAATTTTAGCTATGATAAATTATGGTGATGACTACGAGTATAATTTGTTTTTCATACGAAATATTGACATAACTATATTTCACAACTTATTATGAAGTTCCAAAAGTAATATCGATGTCTATGTTTCACCACTAAGGGCAAATATGATAAAAGGGCAGCCGACTACACGAAACATTCCGCATTTCGGGTAAGGATCGTATTCCAAGGAATGTAATGTAGTCAGCCTACCTTGATGCAACCATTAGTGGCGAATTCTACGGCTCGTTTCCGTGTGACCTACGGAAACAACTTTACCATTGCTCCAAGGCTCCCTTTCATAAGGCAGAATATGATGTCTGCTCCAAATGAAAGCAAACAGAAACAAGACGACGAAGAAGAATCAAATACTTTTCACTAAAAATAAATATGCCAAACGATCTTCATCCGACTCATTTTCTTCATTTTGCCTTCCAAGATCTCCAATTCCGCTATAACAATAACAACATACTTTTCTGCTTTCACACTATAAATTACAAGAACAAGAAATCTAACAACACATATCTACAACACCCAAAAGAAAAACCTATACAACATTACCGAGTACTTCAGGTTTTTCAATAAAACTCGGTAGAATACCAAGAATATTTTCACCAGGCATTAAGAGCTACACAATGCCATCAACTGATTAATCACATACGAGGTCAAACTCGTAATCATAGCAACATGGAGAAACCAAGGGCGCATAAAATCCATAAATAACAGAACAATTTTCAATGGCAAGAAAATCTTTAATTTCATTCCTCACTTGAAAATTGCTAAAACATATAGTACAAAATTTTTGTGTTCGACTAAATGTACTTCAATCCTGAAATATATTGTTGTCTAGAGATCAGATACTGGGCTAAAGAATATATAACTCCAAGGAGTCCCAATATCTTAACCTTGATAATGTCCGTCATCAAAACTGATGGCAAATTAAGAGGTATTGTCAGCAACGGCATAGATTCAGCCTGTTTTGTGTAGCTCCACACGAAGCGATTAAAAAGGATGTGGCTTGGGAATGTTAGAATGAGAAGTGCCAAATTCTTGACTGCGAAAAACCAATCTGGACCTCCTACATCTAATCCCCACCCTGCATTCCCGTGCCATACATTTTCCCATATGCTATACAGGGTGGTTAACACCAAGTAGGCAGAGATAACAACAACAACAGGGAAGTACCTTTGCTTGTCCCCGAAACCCGCAACAAAATCAGAATCCTGATTAAGCAGCAGCAGGATAGGTGCCAAGAAGAAAATAGCACGGTTTGAGCCACCAGTGAGATTGACATTCAAGATCAGGCATATAGCAAAACACATGATCGTAGCAACATTACCAACGGCAGGCATCCAGGCACCCTCAGCAGCCATTCTCTTGATTGTAAAGGTTGGAACAGCAGAGGCTTTGCGTTGCTGCATGAACCTTAATCTCTGGGGAACAGTACTAGAGCTACTTTGACCTGAATGGCTGTGTCTAACTCCACCCCTATCTACTACCTTTTCTCGCAGCAGCGAAGCTAGCTCAAACTTCACTTCAAGTGCAATAAGCATAAAGATTGCAGCATATAAGCCAAGAAGGGAAGTCCTTGCACCTTCAACGGCCAGAAGGGTTGCCAGTTTGCTGTCTTCTTCTCCCATATCTTGCACCGCACTATCTCCAAGGATGGTTTTGTTTATTCTGACCTGGCCCTCCAACAAATATGTCACGGGAAAGAGAGCCACAAGAAGTGCAAATACCCATGGCAGAAGCTTTGTGCTTGAAGCAGATGGGAAGTGAGTGAAAACAACAAATACTGAAGTACAGACCATGGTGACAACAATGAGAACATGGAGGATTGCAGCCTGGAGAAAATATTCTGCTGATATGTAAATTCCAAGAGAAATGCCTATAGCAATGGCATAAAATGTCCTCAATTCAACGACGTATTTAATGGGGATGGTGGAAGTAACAGATGCCAGGGTGAGCAGAATTGCAACAATAAGCAACCATGAGGGCCACGTAGGCTTTGATGCAAAGAAGCCATAAATAGAAATGTCATCAGCAGATTGACGAGCAGCTTTGATTACGTCCGAGTGGTAAGTCCATGACAAGGGGATTGGCGGCTGCATTAGGATAAACAACAAACCTGTTGCAACCACCAGCACCAAGCATCTCTTTGCAGACTGCAAGATAAAAAGAAAAAGCTCCTAATTAGTTGCATCCAGTCAAGCCCTCCAACTAAAGCAACCAGAAAAGTGGTTATTTACGCAAAACAAGAAGATACTTATCAGGATATTGCACTTCCACGTGTTTGTAATATAAGTATCCCTATTCTATGACCATGAAATGTTTAAAGAACAGTTAAGAGCAAAAGATAACATGAACTAGGCTTCCCAAATGAGGTGTAGCAAACTAACAGAGAGTGGATCTGCGTAAGCAAACAGTCTTGATTTGAAGATTCACATTATTCCATCCCAATCCCAGATGTATAAACACTTAATTATTCTGGATATCTGTAATTATATAGTAAATAAATTATCTTTCTCATTAAGAGGAGGGTTCAGAACAGAAAATCAACATGTTAGCACATTTCCTTTTAGAGTAATAAATTTTATCTATTAACAATCACTGTTCTAATCATCAACAATTCTATTAATAAGAAAGCATCAAATACAACAACAAATAAGTTGGGGGGAATACCATAACATGTGAAAAGTGAAGTGCAACAATCGGGACGCAAGCCAATCCCGTCAAGAGCAAGCAGGAGCCTAAAAGCAAACCATCAGAAGGAGGTCTACCATGCCACCATTGAAGAGCTTCAAATACTGTTTCACGACAGAACCAAACTGATAAAGCAACAACAGCAGCATGAGCATAACCTTGCCAAGGTTTCATTTTTGAGGCAGTTCTTGACTTATCCCTGCAAGATAAACAAATTAGGAATCTGGAANAAAGTAGTTATGACTACCATATAACTTGGGTACATCACATCATCCTCCAACCCATAATAGTAAATGCTAGAGTAACTAAAGAAACGATTTTCAATATAGCATAGCAGCAAAGCATGGCCAATCAAACCAATCTCGGTCAGAAAGCGAAATTGCGCTGGGAGAATAGCTAAACCAGGAATGGCCATTGCTAGGATAACACTACCAACAATGAGCTTGCAGAAGGATTTTAAAGGCATGCCCGACATCCAAATGTTTAGATCCCAGTAATTGTGCATTACGAACCATATAACCATCAAGCTTCCAAGCACAACAAAAGCAAAGTATGACGAGACACTCTTCCTCGTGAAGAAACGAGCCAAATAAAATCCTGCTACTGCTGGGAGTGGAACAAACTGCATATTGAAGTAAAGATCATTGACATATGTCCAATATTTTTTTTAGTTTTTCATTGGTTAAAAAAAGTCAAATGTATGGATCACTAAAATGTGGTCCAATGCCTGAGAGCTTCTCCGACACATTCAAGCAACAATTTTTATGCTGTTTCAATGTGTTAGATTTTTCAAATATCCATTTTTAATATTTAATGGCAAAGATTCCACAAGGAAAGTAGATTTAATTTTCTTTCACGGCACCACAAGGATATGCACCAAGAATTCGCCAAAATTTTTGCTTACCTTTTCATTTCAAGCTCACAGAATTAACAGTGGGTTCAATTATATCCAGTACTGCCATAGAGTCGTATCTGCCACTAATCAGTGAACTGGAGATTTTTCTTTTTTTTTTAAATAAACTTTTTTGGTTCACTTAACATTCATCAATTTGGTTTTAAATGCACAGCGGATATGCCACAGCGCCGCAATTGAAGGGGAGAAAAGAAAAGGAATGACTTCCCTCAAGTGACTCTCCAATAAATGCTGCAATTCTGTTTCACAACACTAGTGCAACTAGACACTAAATGCAGTCACAAGCCTTAATATCCTGGTCATTATGGATTGACCAAGACGTAGGCCACATGAAACCGTTTTTTTTATTAAGTAATAATGTTGTCAACATATTTTGGGCACAAAAAAAACCGTATACAGGAAGTATACCAAAAAGTAAAAAACTTACAAACAAATAAGGTTTTCTGCAAACAACACCCAATCTTCTATACATAAAGCAACCTTCATGGGTGCACCATAAGGAAATAAGGAATAAGAGGGTATTCCGCGGTTCTACAAAGTTCATCTATACACCCTCAAAAGCTCTCATATTTCTCTCTCCAAACAACCTACATAATTGCCAGAGGAGCAACATTTCATGCCCGTCTTCCTTTCCACCTATCACAATTCCAACTAAATTTAGCTTTCATGGTTCTTGGATCACCCAAGTTCTACCAAACCACTCCACATTTACTAAAACTTGCTGATTGGGATGAGGCACCTAATTCAAGCACTCATTTCCTCATTACATGTCCATAATAAAGTCAAAATCTAGCAGACATTCAGTATATTATACTCTCTTAAAGAATTCTATATCACCCACAGAATGCCGGATCTAAGTTTCAAAATAGACCATGAAATGACAAGTTCGTAGCAAACATTGTTAAGAATGTCAATATTACTCCATCCCTTCCCGTTTATGTGACTTTATTTCCTTATTGGTTTGTTCCAAAAAGAATGACTCTTCCTAAATTTAAAAACAATTTAACTTAAACTTCCTATTTTACCCTTCATAACAACTTTTTATAGTCACACAAATATAATCGCATGTTTTAGACCACAAATTTCAAAAGTTTTATAACCACACTAATGTTATTGCATGTTTAAGACCATTAAGTTTTAAAAGTTTTCATTTATTAAACTCCGTGTCCAATCAAATAGGTTCAGATAAACTTAAACAGAGGGAATAAATAGTGGTTGAGGGAATGAGTTGTTGTAATCTTACATTGCCTTGGGTAATCCTCACCTTTAGAGTTAGTTTTTGGAATTGAATTAGGCTCTAGGTCAATTTTCTTTACATGGTATCAAAGGCAGCCCCGTCTTTATCATTATTTTACCTAAGGTTAGGCTTCCATATTATGTTGTTCATGCTACAAATGTCCAGACAGAAGACGGGGCTAAGTATCTCAAATTAGCAAGGGAAAGAGTTGTTGTCTTCTTTAGTCTTGGGCAATCTTTACTACATGATTTACCATTTGACATTTGACAGAATATATGCACCACAAGTTTAGCCGCCATAAGAAGGGAGACAAGAAATTAGATAAGATTGTGGTGCCTAATACAAACAATTCAAACATCCAACCTTAGTTCCAGAAGAAAGGCATGATAGATCATAGATGAAGATGTAAACAAAAAATAAAATATAAGTGTTGAAATAGAGGCTACGGGTGTCGGGAAAAATTGTAACAAAGTGAAAGACAAGTTCCCAAAACGGTTGTGAGATCAACAACATTATATGAGAGTACATGTAAACCTTAAAGGTCCAATATATCCGCAAGATGAGCATCGCAAAAATAATGATGTCAAGATGAATGTGCTAGGAAAAATAATTTCTTATAGAGGATACAAGTATCATACATGGAGGTAGAATAAAAGAGAGGCGCATGAGATGATTTGGCCATGTTCCACATATATTAAAAATATAACCTCTTAAGTTCGCCCTAGAAATGCATGACGGTATGTTGCTTCAACCACCTACAATCTCCTCAAATCAATAACTAAACGAAGAACATTACGTAGCAGAAGCAAACAATCATTATGGATAATACCAACTCACTGAAATTAATTTCACTTGCATTAGGCCTAGTTTTTGTTGGATGTATTTGGTCTGGTTAGCGATCAGTGTCAATGTAGAGGTTTATATGGCAGTGTAGAGATACAAGTGAGATTTAAAGAACCTTAAGTTTTAGCGAATCCCTGTTTCGTCTTAAAAGAAAATTATTTTGTAGAATAAAATGGGGCAAACTAGAGAGACTAGATATAGACAGTTAGCATATCTGATCCTAACTAATTTTAGATTGACGCTTAATTGATTAACTAATATTGATAGCTCAAGATTGAGATACACTGTGGGTGAAGGAATTTATGGCCAATGGCTACTAGCTCATCTAAAGGCATGTAACATCACCCTCCACATTACTTCGTCGAACTTTAAGATTCCTCAATCAAAGTGCAACCAAGTGTTCCAAGGGTGCCCATCAAACTAGGAGAATGTTGAATTGTCTTCTTTAAGCATCTTCACTTACCTCTATTGAAAAAAACATCTTCCCTTGAATTTCTTTGGATATTTCACGTTTATCTCACATTACGTGACAAGAGGGGTTGCTCTGATGGTAAGCAACCTCCACTTCCAACCAAGAGGTTGTGAGTTCGAGTCACCCCAAGAGCAAGGTGGGGAGTTCTTGGAGGGAAGGATGCCGAGGGTCTATTTGGAAACAGCCTCTCTACCCCAGGGTAGGGGTAAGGTCTGCGTACACACTACCCTCCCCAGACCCCACTAGTGGGATTATACTGGGTTGTTATTGTTGTTGTTGTCCGTATCATTTTCCCACATAAATGAAGATCTAAAATAAAAGTCAAAGTTAGCAAAGTTTAAGAATTTATTGTCAACAACCAAATTAGCTTTGGGATTAAGGCAAAGTGATTCTTTTTCTGGTGACAGGTGGTATCCAGCCTAGCTTGTGTGCACCTCGACTATTCCACATGCTACCTTCTTTCCCACCATCACAGGTACCGGGTCCTTCAACAAACAATTTTCTGAAACTACACTGGGTTCACCATGTTGAAAGGCGCAAACGTAAGCTAATTTCACTTCACTTGTCAATAATAGAAAAGGTCAAATAACAAAAGCACAGCATGGAAATGGAAAGAATAACAGAAAAGTAAATTTAAGAAGACCAAAAACATGCCAATACATACCAGAACAGGAAATCCCACCACGATCGCGCCAGCAGAACTTACAATGACAGCTGAAGCAGTGAATCCTAGTGAGCTAAAAGCATCAGAAACCATACCAAGAGCATAAGCACCAGCTGCAGCTGCCCCTCCCAGCATAGTTATAGTGACAAGCAGGTAATTCAACGGCGGTGGAACTTGAATGTATCGTCCAAACGAATGGAACACAACCCTAACCTCCAAGCAAATGACAACAACAAACAAAGCAATAGCTCCATTCACCACGCGAATGCTCTGCAACTGATGCTCATTCTTCGTCACCCACCATAACCCCCCTCTCGTCGAGGCATACAGTTGAAACAAGAAAGGAATGAAGAAAAGCAGAAACAGATCACAAATAGAAGCCGCAGATACAAATATAACTGTGTAATGCGATGCAATATGAAACAAAAGAGGGAAAAACAAGAGATTCAACGTATGTACACAACTCTCAAGCTGCCCAAGGATAAAATTGTCATCTGGAACCCTACCACCGTGGTAACTCACTTCTTGCTTCAGTTTAAACGACGATAAACGAGGCACCGCAAAAAGCCAATAGAAAATGCAGTTAAACACCATAAGATAATAAGCAGCATTAACCATACCAACTGCAGAGACTGTTGCCCAGGTAAAAACTGTAGAAGCAATAATCGGACAACAAGCGAACAATAGCCGCTCGAGTGCAAGCACAATCGTCGGATATTCAATTTGAATCCACTTGAACTGAAGCGATACCCACACACCGATTAAGAAATTCGCTAAACTACAAACTGATACAGCGAATAGGCCGAGAATGATCGAATTGAAAGTTCCGAACAGTGATGCGCTGAAGAAGAAAGCAAATTGAGAGGCGATGAGTGAAAACCAGACGGCGAAAAACGAACCGGACTTGAAGTTGAGTGAATCGAGGATGTAAGCTATCATAAGACCCAATGTGAGCGTAGCGACGACGGGAGTGCCGCCAAGGTCAAGAAGGAAAGCGGCGCAAGGAACTAACGCAACAGCGATTCGAGCGTTGTGAACGAACGCCGACGGCGAGAATCGAGAGTTTCGTAGAGATCTACTGTTGAGGGAGCTGCTGCTGCTACCACCGTTAGGGTTTCGTTCGGGACTGTAAACGCCGTCGAAGGAGGTGGAGAGAGAAGGCGCACTAGTTGAGGCTGATATGTACGGACGGAACGTCCGCGGATGGAGCTCCGGCGGCAACATTTTCGTTCTCCGATCTGCCCGCCGGCGATTGTAACGAAGATTTTGCACTGAGTTTTCGTGTTGTGTGATCTGTTAAGGTTTAGCTGATCCGCGTTACGAGTTTCCGATTACTGAGTTACGAGTGACAGTGTGTAAAATTGAGTTGACGTGTTTGAGACTCTTAGGACCGTTGGATCTTTTATTCTCGAATTTGATTGGCTGATTCAATGATCGAACCGTTTATGACACCGATTAAGATCAACTATATAATATAATGCTGGACTTGACAAGTTTCTTTATCAAATTTCACTCGATCTATGGTATTCACTATTCTCTCCCTCTCATTTTTTTATTTATGCTCTGGTCTACAATAAGTGATTAATTTGTTTTTGGCACGTCCATTAAGAAAATATTAAATTTTATATAAAAATATCTAGTATGACTAAACTACCCTTAATTAAATATTTAATGTGAGGTGTAAGAAAACTTTTTATGGATATGTACATAATGGTAATTTTATAAAAATAAATTGAATTCTTTCTTGATTATATAAATGGACATGTATTTTGAACCAAAATAAAAAAGCAAATTGATCACTTATTGTGGACCGGAGGGAATAGTACTTAATTTCGATATAAAAAAATATAGTTTATATTTAAAATAATTCAAAATTTGAATTTATTTAACCTTAAAAAGAATTTTATAATTATATAAATGCTATGGTTTATCTAATATCACAAATTTCAAAAAGTTATATAATCACGCGAGTGTCATAGTACGTTTATGATAACGAGGGGATGATGAACCGAATATCTTATTGCAGTAATCATATTTCTTTCAGTAAATATGTTCTTGCATTTGAACTTGTTTTGTTAGCATTTAAACAAATATAATTAAATAGGTTACGAGTAATGACACTCTATAATTGTTGGCTCTATATAGAATGTTGAAAGCGCAACAGCATATAAAAGAATAATAATTTCATCTGTATTTACTTTTTAAATCTCATGGCAAATTAAACTACATCATTATAAGGTCATGGCATTGAAGGATGCAAGATTTTACTAGAGAAATATTACAGCAAATCATAATATTTATGATTGTTTACACCAGTTATAACAAGTACTGCATCATAAACCTAAAAGAAATATCACACGAAAATTATGATAATCTCTTGAAGTCATCCACCTTAAAATGTACCTAATTCGTAGAGTGGTGGCTTGGTGCTTTCATTTCTAAAGGCAACATTCATCTTAAGGATCATAAGGAGACCTTCTTATGCTCCATTTTAAACAACAACAACAAACACTATATTATTCTATAGGTAGATTCTAAGAAGGATAATGAACACATAGATCTTATCTTTACTTTATGAAGGTAGAGAGAATCCAATAGACCCTCGGAGGAAAGACGCAAAAAAAAAAAAAAAAAAAAAAAAAAAAAAAAAAAAAAAAAAAACAATAGCAAAGGCAAGATAATAAGATAATCGGAGTGAAAGAGACAACATCCCTAATTTGACATGCTTATGCTCCATTAGATAATAAGATAATGGTAGCGAAAGAGACAACATCCCCCTGTATATATATATATATCGCGGAGTGATAACCCTAATATAAAGTTACTAGTCTATAATTCAAATAATTAAATATTTGCAGTAGGGGTGTACATGGACCGGGTTGGTTCGGTTTTTATCAAAACCAAACCAAACAACTATATCGGTTTAGATTTGTTCGGTTTTGTCGGGTTTTCCGGGTTTTTTTATTACATGAATATTATTTCGATCTTACTTTGTTAAAATTATAGGTAAAGCTTTAATAAGTGAATATATGTTTAGTAAATATGGAAAAAAATTGGCAAACATATGATCTATTAAAATATTCTAATGGGAGAATTTTTTTAGTAACACATGATAGTTATTTTCTTAGTCGTCTAACAATAATTTTTCTTTAATTTACGCTTTCAAGGTTAATACATGAGAGGATCTCAAATATTTTTACATTTTCTAAAGAAAATTCACTATAAAGTCTTAAAAAATAAATATAATTTATATATTTATATGTCGGTTTGGTTCGGGTTTTTTTTACTCAATATCAAACCAAGTCAAACCAAACCTAGTCGGGTTTTTTAATCGATTTGGTTTGATTTTTCGGTTTGGTACGATTTTCCGGTTCGATTTGAACACCCCTAATTTGCAGCCTCTCTTGCCCTTAGAACATTCTTTTCTTTTGTATTTGCATAATCAATTTCAATTAGAGGGATAACAAGGCAAACTAAAGAGATTATAACATTGTTAGTTACCAACTTAAAACAGTGGAGAACATGTGATTAAACAAAAGAAAAAATGAGAATAATTAGATTTTTTCCTATAATGAATTAGTGAATGAGTCGAACTGTCAAATTTATTTTCTAAAATAAAAAAGATCTAATTCGTCCTAATAAAAAGCTTGCTTTCTAGTTCAAATTAAACAATTGCAGCCATTCTCACCCTTTGAAATTCATTTCGTTTGTATTATTAATGGATGATAAAATAAATAAAAGAGATTATGCATTGTGATTAAAGAAAAGAAAAGAAAAATAAGATAGGTTAGATTGCTTAGTAAATCGATAAAGTGCTTTGGACCAATGGGAATGAGGGAAAAAGATTAAAGAGAAGTCAACCTGTACTTTAATATTTTAAATCACAAATTTTAATTATTTAAAATCATTCAAGACATAAGTAGTCCTTAACTTCTTTATGTTTTTTTTTAAAAAAAGTGGTGAGTGGTAATCTTTTTTAATTTTTAAAATCATCCAATACGTAAGTAATTTATATTGACCGACTTTATATTGATTGTCTTGACAATCAATTTGATGGATAAATAAATTTTTAAAGTATTTCATAAGGACGATATTGTATGATTAGAGTACTACTGGTGATAGGATATGATTATAAGTTGTTATGCAATGTGGTTAAATTAAGGCTGGGATAAGTAATTGAAGTGATACTTGTAAATGATAATATAATTGTTGAGGATGATATTATGTTGTTGGGAAAGTATGGTTTCGAACTTTCGACCAAGTTGTTTATTAAAATTAAAAATGATATTTGTGATTTACTTAAAATAAATTAATTAGTTCATGTGCAGCGCGACAAATTAACTGATAAATTATGTGTTTGGTATGGCTATCATGTTTTAATCATAAAAAACAATTTTATTTAAAAGTGAGAAATGCTTTTGTTCGAATTTTTTCACTTATGACCATTTCTAGTGGCAACATTGTGATCTTGTGGCAACGAGGAAAGTGTTTGGAAATAAGATGTTGAAGGATTTGTTTGTAAAGACACTATTATTGAATCTAGAAATAGCTTCTTCTTTTTTATATGATAATCCGTTATATATTAGTTTCTTATTAGTTCGTTTTAAAAAAAAAAAGAATGATACATTTTTGTATTTCATAACAACTCAATTTTAAACTTTTTGTTTAACCTTAGTGAGAAAATTTTATAGCCACACAAATATGATGACATGTTTAACAATACAAGTTTCAAGCAACACAAATATTGTACTGTGTAGGGGTGGGCATAATTTGGGCACATCCGAAATTGAAATTGAAATCCAAACTTTTTGGATTTTCGAATTGGATGATGGATTTAGTAATATCCAAAAATTCAAAAATGTTATGCCTTATAATTGGTGATATCTGTTAGATATTAGTCTATTATCTATATGCCCGATAATAGTTGTCTAATGCCCTACTCATTAGACATTAGCTCATATTTTCAATATTACTTACTAAGTCACTGGTATAATTCTTTTTATTTGGACTTGATTTTACTATTGTTAATTCTTATTGGCTTTATTTATGTCCTTGTTGCATTTCCTCGATAATGATTTTATTACTTGCATAAGTACTTTATTTGGATGATTGTGGTGAGAATAATGAACTATTAAGCAATCATTTGGAATTCATATTTGTAAGGTGAATAAGAAGAAGCTCAACTAATAAACTCAAAATCGAAAATCGAAAATATCTAAATCAATTCATTTGAAATCGAAATTCAAAAATTCGATCCATTCCAAGCTTATTTGAATTGGATTTGGATTATCATTTCTTCAATCACGTCACGCAATTAGAGTTACGAACCGTTTGATTGTTCTTGGGAAACTAAATCTATAACACAATCAGGGGTGGCTTGGCTCAGGGATAGAAGGAGGCGAAAGTAGAAAATTCAAATCAAAATTTTCATATCCAATCTAGATTGCCCAAACGCCAACGCTTAATATTATGCTTATAATAACAAATATTATATTTTTTATAGCCACGCAAAAATTATGTCATGTTTAAGATAACGAGTTCAAAAGTCTTTTTTATTTTTAAAATTTTGTGATGAGTTAAATTACTTAAGAATAAGAAATTGATAGGTGTAAATGCAATCGTATTAAACTTGTATCTTGATTAGTATTTAGTACACAAGTACATAACACATATTTGTCATGAAAGATAATATTATAACTTGTATATTTCATAGCATATTGTATAATTTTAATTAATGTTCATTCTCTTTTTAAAAAGTTTATTTGAATTCACAGCAAAAATTGAAATATTCGACTTTTTTTGTCGGGAAAGAAGGAGATTTAAAAGAAAAAAATTACAATTCATAGACTTCCTAGAAAGAGAAATTCTCCCTTCTCTCTAAGAATACCTACATGGACGCAATCACTACACCGCCAATTATATCACCGGAACCACCAGATAAATATAAACAAATGGATGTGAAAGAAACAACAATACATTCCTACAAGGAAATGTTACTCGACAAGCAGGCAGTAAGCCAAACAGAGTATTACGATGAGGATCTCTCACAAATCATCAAAGATAATAAAGGAAAAAGTATTGAAGGCTCAATTGCTCTCTCACAAGAAGACAATAAACGCATATACCAACCATGGCGATTCAGTAATCATAAAGGTATTTGGTCGTAGAATGTCTCACCATTACCCTCGATCTAAACTGCTTGACCTATAGAAACCATCCGAACAATTAATCCTGATTGACTCAGGATGAGACTTCTTCATTATCAAATTTGGTCTAGAGGAAAATATGGCTAAGGCATTACACCTAGGACCATGGTTCGTCTTTGAAAATTTCCTATCCGTGTGTAAATGGGAACCAAAATTTGTCCCACAAGAAGCTACACTATCTTCCACAGCTATCTAGATTCGCCTACCTC